CTATGTCAATAAGTTTGGTATCAAACTGTAGATTATAATTCAAATTTTAGTGTTATACATTACTCAATTTCTTAATTTAAAAGTAGTATTAATAAAACACAGTTAAATATCGATTTTGTTGTCACGTGGTATGTTGAATGCAGCACTGGTTCAAATTAGATGTTTGTGAAGTCAAAATACTAAGTCTATAGTTTCATACAAATTAGAAACTAAAATTACAGATACTGACAAGCTAGAATATAAAATAAGGTTTTATCTTTTCTCTTTGCTAAGATATTGCTAACATAATAAATCAAACAGTGGCACCCTGTTCACCTCTCTCCATTTCTGTAAACACTCCCTTATATACACTATATATATGACATCAATAACCAATCAAAAGTTCAGAATGCCCCCGTGTGTGTGTGTATGAAAAAGTAGTGATATTTATAACAAAAATTTTGTCAATATGAAAAAAGTTATGTTATAAAAAATAGCCCAGCAATATAAATTGGTGGTATCAAACACACAAGCAAAGTTAGAAGAGCACACAGCTTTTACAACTGTACCTATTTTCTTGGTATAGGACCAAGTTTGCCTCAATTGCTTCTTCTAACCTGGTAATGCGTTCAATATCTCTACTTTATATAACCAAGATAAAGTTGCTTGACAAAATTCTGTATCATACCCAAGCAGCAAAGATAATACCCAGACAATGCACAAAACAATAGGAGAAACACTGAGTTTTACATATACACAATAAGAAAAAAAATGTTTAAAGAAATTACAACTATACACAAGATTCAGTACATATTATTTAACTTGGCTATTATTATTCATAAAGGCAGTTTATTATATTTCTATAGTTGAGTTCAAGTTTTTACAACACACAAACAAATGCAAAGAATTTCCAATTTATTTTTGCAACAAAAATAAAAAAATAAATCTTATATCTTAAGTATTAAGAGATATTTGCCATGTTTAATTTTATGATGATTTTTACGTGGATCTTGTTCCAAAACAGTAGCAACACTAGTATTGGAACTCTTAAATGTCAATGTCTGGGAAGAGCTACTGTAGTGCTAATCTCTGTAAGAGCATATGATTCTTGGGAAGGCCTACTGTAGTGCTAATCTCTGTAAGAGCATATGATTCTCGGGAAGGGCTACTGTAGTGCTAATCTCTGTAAGAGCATATGATTCTCGGGAAGGCCTACTGTAGTGCTAATCTCTGTAAGAGCATATGATTCTTGGAAAGAGCTACTGTAGTGCTAATCTCTGTAAGAGCATACGAATCTCGGGAAGGACTACTGTAGTGCTAATCTCTGTAAGAGCATAAGATTCTCGGGAAGGACTACTGTAGTGCTAATCTCTGTAAGAGCATACGATTCTCGGGAAGGACTACTGTAGTGCTAATCTCTGTAAGAGCATACGATTCTC